ACGTAGGGCGGGGGTGGTGATGGTGATGGTGGCGGGGGGGACTTGTAGACATAGGGAGGTGGCGGTGAGGGCGATGGTGGTGGAGGAGACTTATAAATGTAGGGAGGTGGTGGTGATGGAGATGGTGGTGGTGGGGACTTGTAGACGTAAGGAGGAGGAGGCGATGGAGACGGTGGTGGGGGAGACTTATAGACATAAGGAGGTGGTGGGGAAGGAGATGGTGGTGGAGGAGATTTGTAGACATATGGAGGTGGTGGGGAAGGAGATGGCGGAGGTGGGGACTTGTAAGCGTAAGGAGGAGGAGGTGATGGAGATGGTGGTGGTGGGGACTTGTAGACATAAGGAGGTGGTGGTGAAGGAGATGGCGGTGGAGGAGATTTGTAGACATATGGAGGCGGTGGTGAAGGAGAGGGTGGTGGTGGAGATTTATAGACATATGGAGGAGGGGGTGATGGAGATGGTGGAGGTGGGGACTTGTACATATAAGGAGGAGGAGGTGACGGAGATGGTGGTGGAGGGGATTTGTAAACATAAGGAGGGGGCGGTGAAGGAGAGGGTGGTGGTGGAGATTTGTATACATATGGGGGAGGAGGAGAAGGAGAAGGCGGAGGTGGTGACTTATAGTAGTATGGTGGGTGACTCACATGCTTGGGCGGTAGGGGGAATTTGTGATGGTATGGAGGGTGTGCAACATGCTTTGGTGCTGGTGGTGACTTGTGGTAGTACGGCGGGTGTGCAACATACTTTGGTGATGGTGGTGACTTGTAGTGGTGCGGCGGATGGGGAATGTATTTTGGTGCTGGTGGTGACTTTTGGTAGTACGGCGGGTGTGCAACATACTTTGGTGATGGTGGTGACTTGTAGTGGTGCGGCGGATGGGGAATGTATTTTGGTGCTGGTGGTGACTTTTGGTAGTACGGCGGGTGTGCAACATACTTTGGTGATGGTGGTGACTTGTAGTGGTGCGGCGGATGGGGAATGTATTTTGGTGCTGGTGGTGACTTTTGGTAGTACGGCGGGTGTGCAACATACTTTGGTGATGGTGGTGACTTGTAGTGGTGCGGCGGATGGGGAACGTATTTTGGTGCTGGTGGTGACTTGTGGTAGTATGGCGGGTGTGCAACATACTTGGGTGATGGTGGTGACTTGTAGTGCTGTGGCGGATGGGGAGCATACTTTGGTGGCGGAGACTTGTAAAGATACGGCTTCTCAACGACATGATTCGGAGGCGGCGGAGAAGCATAAATATAGGGCTTGTAATCAGCAACCACACTAGTGGCTACAAGGCAAAATGCAAAGGCATAAACCAGTCGAGGCCAATGCCTCGGCTGTGCTAAGGTACCCATTTCCGGCAAATTATTCAACTCCTATCACCGGAAATTTGTATTCCTAAGATCTACTAAATGTTGTGTAGAAGTGAATTGCATGGTAAGGTTGAGAGGAACCCCTTTATATAGTGTGCTCTCATAATCATTGTTGAGTAGGACATCTTTGTTTATACAACAAAACAGGCTGTCTTTATTGCTTAAACAATATTATTCAAAATAACAATTTGAGTTTATTCTTTTCCTTAATTATTGAATCCTCTCATCCATACATATATATATATATATATATTCAAATCCTACTATTTGTCTTTTTCTAAAAAATTTCATCAACATGTTATTGTGCTTTCCCACTACAAAGTCTCTAAAATGCGATCGTGATGAACTAGTCAAGAAAAGCACATGTAGTACTAGGTAAAAAAAAATTAGGGTGATGTGAGACTGAAAGCTTCAAAGCGTGTTTTAAGTAAACAGTGCTTGTTTTGGTTTAGTACTTTTTTGTTTTCTTTTTGTTTTGTCTTTGTAATTTTTGGTAACGAAAAAGAAAGAAAGAAAAAAAAAAAAAAAAAAGGAAGGAGAGAGAAAAGTGCAACTTTGTCTGGGATCTAGCATGTGCCCACTCCACCAAATTTAAATTTTAATGTTTGTTTCATTTGGTGTCGGAACAGGCTGGTAAATTGTATGTATGTAGAAAACTTCTCAAATTTATATTAATTTTTAACAATGTCTAAAGAACTTTCGTAACTCACTTAATTAGTAACACACAATCCACAATAGTCGAAATAATATTAATACGCTAAGTGATTGCTGGACTGGAAACGTGAAAACACCATTAATTCTCTTTTCAACAAGGATAAAGAACGATTAATTTGCTTATGTTACGGTCTTTTTATAGATACAGTGCATGATAGTTAAAGTTATAAGTATACACAATATGAATTTTATTATCTCTCTCTAAAATTCTTCTTCTTCTTTTTTGTAAGAAAAATTCTTCTAAGTTTATTCTTAGGTCATGTAGCTTCATATTATCTATTTTTATCTTGGTGTTTCTATATATTATATGCTTGTTCCACTGCTCAGACGCTGAGTTTATATTTTATAATGTCAACGGTTTATATTTTATCTCTCTTTATTTTTTACCAGCAAAATCCTAAGTTCTTTGTTTTCTTTGTTTCTTTAGGAAAACTAGCAGTTCTTTTTTGATGTATTCATTCTTCTTTCTCGTAGTTATCATCCTGAAAGTATCGTGCTTTAATCTCGTCAGAAAACTGAAATAAACAACAAAAAATTTTCTTCAACCTGAACCTATTATAACAGTTTTTTTTTTTCTTTTTTTCTTTTTTAACTTAGAGAGATTCAAACTCCATACCTTTAAAGTACCTTAGAATTACTACTAGATTATGTGTTTAACAATAATCTAATATAACAGTTCTGATCTCACTAAATCTATTTCAAAAGCATTAAAAGTAATTAAGCGTCGATCATATATATTGTTCGAGATCTCAGAGAAGGAACTGCGTTGGAGAAATCACTTTCTCAATCAAAATTTGCACACATATAAAAAGTCTTTTTGATCCAACCATATCAAAATTTGCACAAATATAAAAAGACCTTGATCCAACCATATTCGAATAATGTATCAGAACGTGATTCCGTCTATATATAGCCGCTTGCTTTGAGTCTTCATCCACTGAATACTGATAATATTCATCAAGTTATTGCCTTGAAATGGTTTGTCCCATTTTAATAAACAATGACACCAATAAATGTGTGAAAACGTGTTAGGGTGATAGTATACTTTGCCCTTTTAAATACTATTTTTCTGAGACATTTTTTTACTTTAGTTTCCTTTCCCAATAGAAAAAAAGAATAAAATGCAGTCCATAAAGTTTTGCTTATTTTTCTTTTCTCAGAATAAAGAATCAAAGAATTTCAGAGAAGTCAAACAATGTTCCCTGATCAAATAGTTTTTCCTTTCTCATTATTGGTTACAATGTCAAGGCCATTCATTTTTGGTTACGCGCAATTGCATCACAAGGTCGTCTCAACTTGCAAGTGGGAATTTTTTTTTTTTTTTTAGGTTGTGCCAAGTGAAGGCAGACCAAAAAAAAATGGCATGGAATATACTAAATAAAGGATCAACATTGCAATCTCATGTTTCAGAAAATTTACATTTATGTGTGTTTATATAAATAGACGTGTGTGTATATAAGTGTAGATACATGTATGCGTGAATGTCAATATATATATATATATATATATATATATATATATATATGTATGTATGTAAGCACGTTACATACGGGGGTTAGCGGTCAAAACGTTATTTTTTATGTACTCTCCTTTACTTGGTTACAGATTAAAAAATCATCGCCAGTCAATCTTCCCATATTCTTAATATCCAATTTGTATTTACATTTGAATCCATAGCCTTCTATAAGGTTTTATATTTGAGATTGTATTCTTATCAACCCACTTCATTAAATTTTTAACGTAACTATTAAAAACTCGATTATATGTGAGTATTAGAACATTGCATTTTCGTTTATTTCTAAGAAAATATATGGAGAAGGTACTAGCACATGCATGCCAGAGGAGACAGATATTATAGTGAAACTTGGGTCAATATCAATAAATTAACATGAGAATCATATACCAAACTTGAATAGAAATTAGATAACCGCCTGAATCTGAATGTGTAAGCTCCTTTAGCCACGGCCAGATTCAAGGTGATTAATAGGCCGTTTTGGAACTTCGTAATTTGCTCTAATTACTTTTTAATCTACTGGGTTTATTCTTCTCCCATGAAACTTCGATTTGATAGGACAAAATTAGTTAATGGATAACCAACATAATATATTTAGAGGATGCCAATTTTTTTGGCCTCTTGTTTCTTCAAATACAAGCATCAAATTGTGAAACTAAAACAACCGAGAGACAAAATTAATATAATATATTTTAACCTATGTGACGCTTTATGTAAGCCAATTTTATAGGCTTGTTGTTTGTTCGAATATAAGCATCAAATTGTGAAACTAAAACAAGAGAGGCAAAAAAAATTATATAATATATATTATCCTAAAGTTTATTTCAATAAACAGCAGTAGTATCACATCATAATGGGTAAGTAAGATGCTGTAGTTGGCTGGATTTCAATCAATAAATTAGCATACGCTTTAAAAAAAATATATATATATATATATATATATTATTGTCCTATCTAAGAAGTAATTTGGGTTGAGAAGAAATGAAAATGCAAGGAATAATCATAAAAGTCAAATAGTGCCAGCTTTGTTTGAAGGAATTCAATGCACATATATGATTAGTTTTGTCTCTCTTGCAAGTGGCAAGAGAGGACAGTGTAGATTCACAGTGACGTTTTGATATTTTACTTCTTAATTCAACGTCGGTGGAAGAAATAATAAGCTCTCTCATGAGTCATATGATGTAATCCGTGATTGGAGCTTATGCAATACTACTTTGTGATATATATATATATATTAATATAAGTATATATATATATATATGTATATTCCTTTTCTGTTATCAATATTACATTGTATGATTCATGTCATTGGAGGGTAAATTAGCATGGCGTGAAGGCAGCACAATTGTATTACATAATTTTTGGAGCAAGTTTTTCTCACGAACTAGACTACACATTTGATATCTAAATATACTCCTCAACATAAATCGCCTTTTCCGAAATGCTTCTGCTGTTTGCCGCTTGGATACAGATTTTACGTCGATAACTTTTTAGTGCAAAATGCAAATATTGTTTTCTTTTACGTCTATTTGGCTCCACATAACTTTTCTGAAAAGTTGCAACATAAAAAGGCAACCAAATGTGATTCTTGCTCACACTTCAGTTTGACGTTAGAAAGTAGAACCAATTCTTTGGGGGAGGATTACAAATCAATAGACTCGATACTAGAAGGTTCTTGCAGTCGATTTGTCTGTAGCTTTGTATGTTATGGTTCAATGTGGTTTATCCAAAAAAAAAAAAAAAAAAAAAAAAAGGAGAAAAAGGTAAAGAAGACTCAATACTAGAGAGGCCCGACGTGCATGATGTGACAATTCAGATTTTTAAAGGGAAATATACAGGAATGTAGAGCATTTCTTCGACACTATAAAATGTTTGTTCTGAGTTCTATAAATTAACTTAAAGAGGACAAAATTCTAAAAGTGCACAAAACTTAAGAAGTGAGTTTAGCATTTCTATGTGGTTTGAACCGTTCAAAATATGACTTTCGAATTCAGGTGGGGTTATTTGGTATTTTCATAAATATATTGGAGGAAAAATAAAAATGAAATAAAAAACATGGTGAAGAATAAATCGACAGATGCAAATCATAGCATAGACCTGTAGCACCCTGGAGCTAAAATTTGAGATGTTCAATCTTCGATGCATGATATGTTAATTCTTGCTTTTTCCATTTATAAGCTTTGTGCAGTGCTCAAAGTCAAAAGTCCAGCGATTAATACAAATCATTAAATTGTTGAACTGCTCTAAAAGGTTTTTTTTTTTTTTTTTTCCTAGCTGGAATATAAACTGTTGATACATCCAATAAAGAACCAAAATTTTTCCCCAAAGTTTTTTTCATAGCTACTTGTTTTCAAAGGATGGTAATATTTACAGTCAGCAGCGTAAGCAGAAGTAACGGTTTGCCTTGGATTTTGCCCTTCCCAATCAAATGTCAATGCAACAGATGACCTGGTTCACAGCTGCTCTTTCTGAAAACTTGAGCTCCAAACCCAACAAAGAATCACACATGCGATTAGCTTCAAAATTCTACCAAAGACTCAAGATTTAGGCTTCTTTGGCCTCCCTGAATTGGCGGGCTCCGGTTTGCGTTTTATTCCGAGAAAATGTTCAACCTGGAAAATTTACAAAGTTCGTATTACCATAGAAGGCTCACACAACATTGGCGCCCATATGTGGAAATTCAGAATCTATCTCGCATGCATCAATATATACCACATGAAAAAAGTTAACTGACCTTACGATCCCCAAGCATAGGTGTCAAGCCCCCAGGGGGATCCTTCTCAACAGTAGCAAAACCGCTCCGGGGGTCACTGGTTTGCCTGAAACACAAGCAACATGAAAAATAAGAAATTCTTTTTCCTGTGACCCTTCCCGTAAATTCCACAATCAGTATCCAAAAATTAAAGAAAAGAAAAGGCATACCCTGGTTTAACATGTCCACTGAGGACAAGATAGGGCGTCTTCAACTGAGCTTGTGCTTCTCTCATCCTCTCCACAGACTGTGATGGTGTATCTGAACTCTTCATCTGCTTCAATTTCAATTCTTCCTGGTATTGCTTCATGCGCTTTTCTTGTTTCATTTTTCCAGGTCCCTTCCCATGGAACTTATGAGAAATAATCCGAAAAGCTTCCTTCGGAGTCAACTGTTAAAAACAAGGAAATAACTTAACAGAACACAAGGAAATAACTTAATAGAACATAAATGACTCTTCATGATCGTTAGATAAGCAAAGACCTAAAATATATATATAATCACCACATGTTAAGTTTCTTTTTTCAATAAATTGGTAAAATACAGTTGATAAGACACAACTTCAACTCACCGTCATATAGAAATGAGATTATCCGGGTATATGGATAAGTGATCAGTGGAAGACAGTATATTTTCAGTCCATATATTAATAGAAATATTACTATATATAAGACCACCTCAAATACTTGTTTTAGTTTCAATTATAAAGGAATATTTTTTTAATTGTAATTTATCGCTGTAAAATCATTCCTTATCTTGCATCTCAGTTTGCACAAAACAAACAAATAGATGTGTTGCGTTCTATAAAAAAGTATCGTAAAATCCAAATACTGTGATAATCAAGCATTATAGCTGGCAAATAATAAGCATATGTGCCTCAAATTCACAAATGCTACATAAGCATGTCAGACCATATATAACTGAGCATATAGGATGACACAGGCACAGCCAATAAGAATGAGATACTTACAATACGCCCAAACTCGTCTGTCCTCTCTATACGGATGTCCTTTTCTTCATAGACCTTAGATGCGCGAGTCTCCTTTGAATAGCTCGAAGAGGATGTACGGGTTCCATCCTTCTTTGGATGGACTTGTTGGCCTGGCTCATCATCATCTACGATGCCAACAAGTTTGCTCTTCTTTTTGTCCATATTTCTGCCACCCCAGTCGATACTTTCTTTAAGTGTCCCTCTCTCTTTAAGCAGCTTCAGCGCACCTGATAATCCTTTTCCAACTGCAACTTCATGGATAATCCCATCTGGAACTATCTCCTCCTCCTCCTCTTTACTAGGGTGTTCATCGTTATTGGTCTCTTTAACTTCAGTCCAGCCACCAGGCTCATTCTTTATTTCCTCATTATAAGCTTTAGGTTCCTCATCTTCATCCATAAAAACATCTTCATTGTCGGGCTTTTGGGCTTCTGAAAAAGCAACAAAAAGAAATAATTTCTTTCCAACTATACATTTAATGCAATATTACTAAAAATCTCCTCAAGCCTGAAATATCGAAACATAATCCAAAGGCAGGAGATAAAAAATTTCGAACCCGGTCCAGGCTAAAATATAAACTCATTTCGCATAACATTAATAGATATTAGGCAATAGATCCATGTAGCATAAATAGCTTTCATAGTGGTAGATAAATTTAGTAAGAATACACGTAGAAAAGTACCTTCTTCAAGTTGGAGACCCCAGACAAATTCTTCCATTTCTGTAAAGACAACCTTGTTTTCCTGCGACTCCCCAGAAGGATTTTGTTCATCTGCAGGCTGACTGTTGGCAATGGTTGCTGCAAGCAATGCAACAGCCTCAGGACCAGATGGTGTCTCCTTGTCTTCCTTTTTGACAGCTATTTTCCTCGCTCTCTCTACAGCTTTATGAAAATCTTCATCATCATCCGCAAAAACTAGATTCTCCTCTTCTTCTAATTTGACAGGAAGAGTTTGTTCCAATCGTAGTGATTTTGATGCTTCATCTGCCTTAGCGAAAGCTGTCTTGTATGCATTATTCCTCCTTTCAGCCTCAGCTCTATCTTGCTCCTCTCTAATCACCTGCCTCTTCGGATCATTCCGAGAACCAAGATCACCAACACCCAGCCCTGCAGAGACTGCTTCTGCCTCAAGGGCGTCAATATCTAGCTTATCCTTCTTCCGCAAGGATTTCTTTTTCTTAGGCTTTTTGAACTGCATCATTTCTTCAGAAGTGTAGTAATCTGATGAGACTTTTCCAGGGAAACTGAGATCTTCAAAGCGTGAGTTTGTAGAAGCGCCCTGTAACCTTCTACGAAGCTAACAATACAAGAGAAAAACTTCATGAGAAAAAGTGATTTTCTGTAAGCCAAAAATCACTTTATGAACGTAAAGAGAAAGTTAAGAGGGACCCCCCCTCCACACACTCACACACAACAACAACAACAACAACAACAACAACACACCACATTTTTTGGAAGCAGAAAATTTTACTGACAGGAACAACAAGTACAAACAGAAAAGTCAAGAAACCCTTAAAAAAGAAAAAGCGGAAAGAAAACAAAATGTAAGAAATATAAGAAATAGAAACTAACAGACAATATACTTGCACGGGGGGAAAAACTTGGGTAAAAGCTAAGAAGTGCCTCAGATAAATAAATTCTGTCTTTGGATATCGATAGTGAAAATTTACCTCTTCTAATTTCTTCTCTGCTTCACTAGTAATGCGTCCTCTTTCATCTATAGTTACCCCCTGAAGAGAAGTACCAATAACTAGATCAACATTTTTCACATAGCCTAAATTTGAGGAAACAAGATAGCATAAATGAAAGAAGGAAAAAGAAACTTTAAGACTGGAAGTAAACATGATATCTACTAAAAAGAATACTAACCACATCTGTGGATGGATCATCATACTGTGGAAGCATTTTCCTCTCTGAGTTTGGGTCATCATTAAACCTGAATACCAGAATGCGTGTCAGTAGCTAATATTGAGAAACATGATTACTTGCTTTGGTTCACACAATACAACTTATTCCCACTGTAACAGTCTTACTCATCACTATAGATCATATCTCATATCAATATGTTTTTCCAGCACATTTATAAGCTAACCTATGGACACAATAAAACTAAAAGAATCTTACTTATCAACATATATCCCCACTTTCTTTTTTGCTGCTTTGTAAGCCTCATCTCGCCTCTTCTGCTCTCCAATTTCCACATTCTCAAGCATATCAATCTCTGTCACATCAGGAAAAAATGCTCTCTTACATAAAAATTGCCATGCCGTCAGAGGGCACCTATTTGCTGGAAAGTAAAGAAGTAATTTCAAAGTTTCACCTAGATTAATGTCGCCATCAGCTAGAATATTCTGATCTTTGAGCGTCAAAACAACTGCACCACCTTCCATTACTTTGTCGATCCCATGAAGAACTTTAACCCCTGCTAGATTATCTGAAAAGATTTTTGAAATAAAGTTTAATAAGTCTGATCAAATTACTTAAATTTCTTGCTATAACATAAGTCATTCAACCAAAACACGTGACACATTGACTGAGATGGTTCCCCAGCTGGTGCTTGTATCAATATCTCTAACACCATGGTGGACCATAACGCACCACCAGGTTTACAACAAGAAAGATATACAGGCACTTGTTGTTCGTAAAAACTAAAACCATGTCCTTAATGATCTCTTTTTGGTGCTTTGACATCATTACAAAATTTAGCAAGTCCATGGAACAAAATGTGGCTGTCTATAAATTATAACTAACACATATCGCATAATCAAAGTCCAATAAAACAAAATAAATAAAATAAAATCCTTTTTATCTATGTAGAACAACTAGTTACCATAAGTTGCAGGGAAAAAAATATCAAAGTGAAATAGAATCTTACAATGTTGGGTTGTTGTCTCTTCATCTTCACTATCTTCTTGAACAATATTGTCCTGACAAAATCAAAACCACATAATTAAACATAAAGTTAACATAAGGTGAAGATTAAACGTCTCAAAATACAATGCAAGGAAACACTACTAGAAGATGCACTAACCTGCTCCTCGAAAATCTTAGACAGCTGCAAAGCTTTCTCTTTTTCATCATTCTTTTTCTCCTCAAGCTTGCGGCTTTTATTCACCCATGCTAAAACTTCAGGAACATCTTCTGTTTTCTTCTTTGATCTTTCTTGTTTCATCCTTACCAGAAATATAGCGAAAGCAAGAAACATTACACATGTTTTTCAGAGGAAAAGATTTATCTTCAAGTCTGTAATAGCATTCACTCTAGATTGCACAAAAAAAAAATAAATAAATAATAAGTTAACAAGAATCAATATAATAATATATTAACTTGCTTACTTCAAGATGCGTTTCTCGAGCTCTGTTGTTGTTAGGTGTGCTTTATGTGAAATGTCGTGAGTAATCTGTTCACCATCTATATACTGCGAAACATTCCCTTGCTTAGCTTCTCTATCCTTCTTATTATCGTCATCCAGCTTAGTTTTATCATCTCTTCCCCCATCCTTGCCCAACTCGTAATCTTCCTCTACACTTTTCTTGCTTACTCTATCTCTTGACTTCTCCTTATCTTGATCTGCCTCCCTCTCCTTCTCTTTAATCTTCTCTTTCGCCTTCTCTTTCTCTTTATCTGTATCCTTGTAATTTTCTCTCCCTTTCTCCCTGTCTCTATGTTTCTCTCTCTCTCGCTCTCGATCTTTTTCCCGTCCCTTGTCCCTTTCCTTTTCCCTTTCTTTATCCCTGTCGTTGTTCTTCTCCTTTCCCCTCTCCTTATCCCGTCCTCGATCACTATCCTTTTCAACATCCCTCTCCTTCTCGCGGTCTTTTTCTTTCACTCGATCTTTTCGATCTCTATCCCTTTCACGCTCTTTTTCTCTGTTTTTTTCTCGATCATGATCTTTCTCTCTAACCTTACTTTCTCTGCTTCTATCCTTGTCCCGCTCATCTCTATCATCCTTCCTCTTATCCCGCTCATCTCTATCATCCTTCCTCCTCTCCCTAGCAAAACCCCGCTCCTTTTCTACATCTCTAGCCTCTTTCACTCTTTCCATCAAGACGTCATCACTGCTCCTCTTCGACCTTTCTCGTTCTTTACTTCTATGATCTTTTTCTTCCCCTCGACTGCTTTTCTTCCTATCCTTGATATGATTAGGAGATTCATCTCGATCATCTCTCTCTTCACGTTGCTCATACCTCGATTCAGACCATTCCATGTCCATGAAGACTCAAGATGTTGAACTTGTCAACAAAATTAGGATCTCGGCAACAAATTTCTTCTATCAAAACGACAATATTAACAATCAGACAAAAGATTTCGTAAAAAGTAAGCAAAATATAGGGAAAAAGAGAGCTTTTTACAGGAAAATCGAATTTCAAGAGCTGTACACTTTTTCTAGAATCAGAAAAGCTCCATTTTAACAGATTAGTCGACACTTTCAATCCCAGTTAATTTTATGAATCGCGACAAATTGAAAATTTGTTTTCCTCAGCTAACTTAATGGAAAAAGAAATCACGTTTTCTATACTAAAATTTCTTCCATATTTTCTTCCTCCAGTGAAATCCAAATTCCAAACTGAGCCTATGATTTGAGGAAATCAAATCCATTTAAAGTATACATCTCACAAAAATTACATGAAATCGAAAACCTGTGAAAAGAAAAAAAAATGGGGAAAAACGAACTGGAAAATCTAAGAAGATGATTCATACCTGGTAATTTTATGTGAGCAGAAATTAACAATGACGAAACTGAGATAAAGAGTGTAGAATTAGGGTTTACAGAAAATTTCAATTGAAACTCAGGGAATTTCTAGGGATTTACTTCGGAGCAAGTGGACTACCGCTCTTTTTCCTTCGCAAAGGTAAAAGTGAAGTGAATAAGGGAACATGCTTCCTATCTCAATATGACACCGTACGTCGTTTTTTCAAACGCAACTTTGACGTCGTTTAAGTTAAACGACGTGTCCTAATCATACACATAAGCGACATGTCGCTTTTACTCTAGCGAACCACAAAATTCGGCACATTAGGGCTGGCAATTCAGGTAGGGACACGACGACACGACTCGAAATTCACACGAAATTAACAGTAAGGCTGTAAGAAATCACCCCGAACCCGACGAACTCGGCCGAGCCGAGCCGACCCTACCCGAAAATCACGGGTTTCTAATTTTTTATTTAATTTTCGGTTTGAATTATACCTAACCCGTACTGCGCGGGTAGGGGCGCGGGGTGGGGTTACATGAACCCGGGGTAACCCTACCCGGCCGAACATGTTCAAAGTAGGTAAAACAATGTTCAACACTTCAAATTCTTACTTTCATAAGTTTATGGACTTTATGCTTTTAAACTGTTAACTTATTTATGTTTTGGATTCACGATTTGTGGAAAAAATGCTTGTATGCCATAGTTGTTGAATTAGGACATTCTTTATTTATATTGGAAGTGTTTGATTTCAAAGTGAGTGTTTTAATTGTTCACCTTGCATTTAGACCCCCTATTGAAGGAAAAACATGTTATGTTTGATAATGATTTCTTATGTAACAAGCACAGATTAATTGACTAAAAAGTGATCATGTGGTCCTTGAGATCACTCTTACTTTATGCATATTGTGATATGAGTTATTAGTCTTTATATTTTATTATGCCGCAATTTTGTTGTGTAATTATTTACTACAATAGTATTTGCATATATCATTTATTGCTCATTTACTACAATAGTATTTTATCATTTATTTGCATATAAGAGCCTCCTAGATTAAAATTGATGAAGTCATAGATTAAAATTGGTTTTCACCAACCCGAGTAGCCCGACCCTACCCGATGTCACCCGAAAGGTTGCGGGTTTGTAGACTTAAGAGAGTGTCGCGGCCCAAAATTTTCTCAACCCGCACTAGTCGGGTAGGCTCAATTTTTCGGCTCAACCCTACCCTACCCGACCGATTTACACCCCTAATTAACAGGTTTGGGTTTATCATAAATAGGTTCATGTTAAAATCAGGTTGAACCCGCGAAACACGATTAAATAACGTATCATTTTCATGTTGACCTGCCAACCCGCAATAACCCATTTATTAAACGTGTCATATTTGGGTAACACGATTATATAACCCATTTGTTACCTGTTTATTACCTAGGTTAAAAATGTTTCAGCATTTATAAGTTCCTACTTCCTAATCTCGCAAGTCACAGCCGCCCAAGCTCAACATTCCAAAGTCCAACCCCCTGTCTCTCGACTCTCCTCTCCTTCGACTTCCACTCTCTCTTAACTCTCCTCTCCATCGCCTGAGCTCTTAGTCCACCGGAGGACCACCGCCTGAGCTCTCAATCCACCGGAGGAGCACCGCTTCTCTCAATCCAGACCCACCCACCCTCGCCCTCACCCACCTTCGCCGCTTCTTCTTCTTCTTCTTCTTTCCTCTCCGCCTCATTCTTTCTGGACCCTCCACTCTCTCCGTCAAAATTGGCCTTGGGGAGCAAATTCTTTGCTTGGGGAACGGATTCAGCCTTCAACAGGTATTTCCCCTGCCCATTTTTTGTTTTTATTTTGATGATTTAATTTGAGCTATGGTTTGCTTGGGGAACGGATTCGGCCTTGGAGAGTAATTGGAATATGCTAAATGTGAAATTATGAACTTTTTAACTCTGTTTGGAGTTGATTAGAAACATTGAGCGTGGTCTAACAAAATCAAGGACGAACTTAGCTTCTTTTTATTTTGGTTGGTTCTTGTGTTGGTGTGAGCTGATTTTTCAGTCCACGTGATTAAAGTGAGTTTGTTTGGGATCATGGATTTGTAATTCAATAAATATCTTACTTTTCATAGACATTGCGGGGAAGTAGTGTTGCAGTGATTTTATGAGCTTTGTTGAACCTTTGTGTTGAAACATTTTACACCGAAAGAATTGCACATGTGATTCTAGCAGGAGTATGTGAGGAAGTGACAGGTAAATCGTTGAAAGTTAGTTTTATGGAGAGTCAATTGGTTAGAATGAATCAAGGTTTAGAATTGTTTATCTACTTTAGAGTTAATTCATGCATGTGAACTGTGACTTGATCGTGTTTTCTGGTTATCAAATTATTTATTTAATCTTAAAAACCTATCATTGCATTCATAATTAAACGAGGGCCGTGGTAAAGAGCAATTGGAATATGCTCTTTTCATCCACAATTAAACTAATGTTTAAGTAATATTTTATTTTGTGTAGATTAATTTAACACAATGGAAATTGATCTTGAGTCAATTGAGTCTCAAAGTGTGGATGTTGAGGTTGAAGAGATTGATGGATTGACTTTGAATACCAAAACTCAAGGCGTTAAACTCTAGAAAAGAAAAAGGAAGCTGACCTCAAAAGTTTGGAGTCACTTTGTTCATCTTCCTCTGGGTCTGAACAAGAAATTGAAGGCCAAGTGCAAACATTGTAACTCTGTGTACCTCGCGGACAGCAAGTACGAAACTGGTAATCTGAAATGACATCTTGTGAATTGTCTGAAAACCTCCTACCGTGATATAGGGCAGATGCTCATTGCCCAAGAAGCTGGTGCAATGACACTTGGTAGAGGTAAGTATGATCCCGAAAAATTTCGTGAGTTAGTTGTCATGCATGATCTACCTTTTAGTTTTGTTGAATATGCGGGAATAAGGTCTCTATTTCAGTACTTGCACCCTCAAATTCAATTGGACTCTAGAAATACTGCAAAGGCTTACGCTTTAAAGTTTTACAAGAAGGAAAAGCTTCGAATTAAATGCATGTTAGAGGCTACTCTAGGTAGAATTAGCTTTACTTCTTATGCATGGAGTTCTTTGACTAGTGATGGATATGTTTGTCTCACTGCGCATTTCATAGATAAGAATTGGAACTTGCAGAAAATAGTGTTAAACTTTAGTTTTATGCCACCCCCACATAGTGGCGTTGCTTTGTCTAAAAACTTTATGGTTTTTTGAGTGACTGGGGAATTGAGAATAAGGTGTTTAGTGTGACATTAGATAATGCTTCTGTGAATGGGGTTTCTGTTGACATGTTAAGAGAGCAACTAGTTGTGAAAGGGGTTCTTGTACACAATGGCAATCTATTTCCCATGCGATGTTGTGCACAAATACTAAATTTAGTTGTTCAAGAGGGTTTGAAGCAGATTGATGATTCTATTGTTAAGATCCGTGATAGTGTCAAATATGTCAAGGGACCCCAAGTGAGGAAGCAAAAGTTTTAGATTGTGTGAAGTTAGTTGCAATTGGTGATAAGAAATGGTTGCGTTAAGATGTACCAACTAGGTGGAACTCGACATATCTTATGCTTGAAAGTGCTCTTTACTATCGCCGTGTATTTCAACATTTAGAGTTGAGTGATTCAAACTACAAGCATTGTCCTTCTAGTGCCGAGTGGGATAAAGTTGAAAAGATTAAAACTTTTTTGAAGTTGTTCTATGATGCAACTCTTAAATTTTCTAGAACAAAGTATCCCACTGCCAACTTGTACTTCCCTTCCATTTGGCATTGTTGCTTCATGTTGAAACAATATTCAGAAGGTGATGATGAGTACTTAAAGTATATGGCAACAGCAATGTGGGGCAAGTTTCAAAAGTATAGGTCTCAATTCCATCTTACCTTGGCTTTAGCATGTGTTCTAGATCCTCGTTTTAAGCTTGGGCTTGTTGAGTTCAGTTACAAAAAGCTTTATGGAGATGATTGTCTTGAATGCATATCAATGAGGAGTAAGTTGTACTCTATTTTTGAAGAGTACAAAAAAAAAGGATTCAACTAGCCAAAAGACCAATGCTTTTGAATCTTTTATGATGGAAAAAGAAGAAAATAATGATGTGGATGCTATATTCAAGGTAATTCCTCTATTTATTAGTAATGCGGATGCTCTATGCTTATGTCTGCTTGTGTATTCTTATCATATCTCCTTCTCATTTTGTAAGAATTTGATGAGATGTCTTCAGTTGAGTCTACTACCGCATCACAGAAATCAGAGCTTGACCTTTATTTGGATGAGCCAAGACTGGCTAGGACCGCGGAGCTTGATATCCTTTCCTTTTGGAAATCAAACCAATTTCGATATCCAGCACTAGTTTCTATGGCTTGTGATATATTGGCTATCCCTGTTTCAACAGTTGCTTTTGAAGCTACATTTAGTGTTGGTAGTGAGTTCTTAATTCATTTCGTAGCTCACTTAAACCGAAGATAGTTGAAGCACTTGTTTGTACCAAAGATTGGTTATATAGAGACAAAAGTGGTTTCAAACTTATTTAAATTATGTATATTTCCTATATTGATTTTGAACTAACTTGTATCTATATATATTTATTTTCGTGTAGATTTCAATAAAAAGGTGGAGGATCTTACACAAGATATCTTCAACTTTTCATTAAAAGAATAGGAGCCTTTCTCACAGGGATCAACTTCTCCTGAACGTAATGATGTACTTAGAGTCCCCCCACTGCAACAAATTATTTAAATGTTTAATTATTAATCATGTATGTTTGTTTTCTAATTTGTGAGACTTTTATGTGTTTATTTTTTAATTTGTGAGAGACTTTCATGTGTTTGTTTTAATTTTAAATTTAGATTATGTAATGTCTTTATATCATGTTAAACAGGTTGAGAAACATGTTCAGAAATAGGTTCTGAAATAGGTTCAAAAATATGTTAACACAACCTATTAATCACTTGTTTCATAAACGTGTTGGCAGGTCTAATTAACGGGTTGACACGACACGTTTACGACCTGTTTCATAAACGTGTTGGCAGGTAATCAACGAGTTGACACGATACGTTTACGACCTGTTTAATAAACGGTTTAATCGTGTCGTGTCGTGTCAACCCGCTAATATGTTTGGATATTGTATTTTGACACAATTAATAAACAGGTCGTGTTCGTGTCAACTGAGGGGTTCAACACGACACGAACACGATCCGTTAACACGAATTATCACCCCTACGGCACATAAATCGCGTGTTTTACTATAAGGAGGATCCCTTGGTGACGTCGTGCGAGAAGAGACAAGAGATGGAGATAGGGTTCCCATTTATTTTTTTATCGATTTAAATTTTTAATTTTAATTAAAAATTATTATTAAAAATTATATTTAATTTTTTTTATTATAATAAAAAATTCTCTTATAAAATTATATTTTAACTCGAATCGCCGTTGATAAAGAAGGCAAGAGATTAACCTTGAGATAAAGAATAGTATTGGTATTTTTATACCTGAAAGTAGTAGTATGTAAAAGAAAGGGAGATAGAGCCAAAGAGCATTTTTAGGGGTGGATGGTTAAAATAGTAGCACGCTTTTAAGATTACCAGAAATGATAGATATAAATTGAATCTTACACTCCAAAATTCCCAAAACACCCTCTGCCCCTCACTTTCACCCTGAAGCGATCATCTGTACGCTTCTCCTGTGATGACGACGAGGCTGGCGGCACACCGGCAATGAGGCATGCTCAAGTGAACGGCGATATCGGATCGTTAACGACACCGTCGTGGAGGCAAGCCCGTATACCGGCAATACCACTATCCTCGCTTCTTCGGCTCGAGCAGAGCCCGTATTCCGGCGAGAGCCGAGAGGAGAGAGAAACAGAGGGAGGTCAGGCCAATGAGACAGATCTCCAACGTCAGGAAGGCGGCATCAGAGAGAGATTGAGGAGAGAAAGCAGATTGACGGCGGCAGGAAGAGATGGGGGGGAGAGAGAGAGATGGCAAGAGAGGGAGGGAGACGAGAAAAATTTTAGGAAATTGTGGTGGGTAGCATTATTTAATCAGCTCTTTTCTGGCCGAAATTTTTTTATTTTATGAAAATGATAATTTTGTTTACGTAGTGATTAACTAATAAACCACAGTCAAGTTTACAATCAATCATAATTGATTAATTTATTATTAATTTATTAATAGTTTAACATTAATAAATATGTAATTTATTGATTAAAATTAATTAATTACTTATTAATTTTAGTTAATTATTAATTAATATTGATTAATAACAAAGAATAATTAAGTTAATCTATGATAAATTTAAGTCAATCAGTGATTGACCACTGAATTAATTAATAATTGACCGCTAAATTAATAAAAACGGTCATTTTTATAATTTTGTAAAACCTCAATGAAATCTCAAAATTTTTTGTGTTCAGGGTTTCATGAATAGGTAGTTCAAATAGGAGCAATTTTGGTAGTTTATGATAAGATGACTAGAATTTGTTACAAATATGCTCTTTACTAAATTTTAATTAAGATTTTGCTATTTACCGCATTTGTATATATGAGATTTGCTATGTGTTGTATTTTCGGAAATAGTAGAAAATAGGTCAATATGAAAAGTTTAAGAAAGTATATAGGCCAATTTTTAGTTATAGAAATTAATAGGTCATAACTTGTCAAATTATGGTTAATTACCAGATAAGTTATAGACAAACCTGTCAAGTTATGGTTCATAGCCAGACAAGTTATGGACAAAAATCGTGATTTATGGACAATAATTTATCAAGTTATGGTTCATAACCAGACAAGTTATGAACAAAAACAGTAATTTGACCTATTTATTAACTTATGTAAACTATTGGCCTATTAATTTTAATTCATCTCAAGTCTTGGTCTATTTTTCTCTTTCTCCCTTGTATTTTCTCTGAAAGAAAAACTGAACATTTTTCCTTTTAGGAAAAAAAAAAAAAAGAAGAAGCAAACATCTGCTATTTCTCCTTATGAGTGAGAAAGTTGTGTATCCTAGATTACCCTTCTTAGATCATGAACAAGACTGCTCATAACTTGTGTTATTGGTCTTTTACCTCTTACTCTGATGCTTTCTTGTTGATTTGTATCTTACTCTGATGCTTTCTTGTTGGTTTGTAAGAAGAATTCTCGGCATTGATGTTGGCTTGTGAAAAAAAAAAAAAAATACATTATGGTTGTAAAAATAAAACGATATATTTACAAAACTAAAATATTCAAGTGTTGGTATCGTGTAATGCATGAGTACATTTGCAAATTTTACTATGTTATTATTTTGTTAAGGTTGTAATTTTTGAATATTGAAATCGCAAAATAAAATGATTACTTAAGAACTAACAGCAATACTGCAAGCTATGCCTTCTCCGACGATCATTTCTTACTTCTAGGATGGTTTTCTCAGTTGTGGTAAACTTTCTACCCTTTTTTATTTTCTTTTTGCTGAATCTTCTTGAGCTTGCCATAGAAATTTGTTATTCATAAACGTTCCCGTCATTTTTGTTTACATAATGATGACGTTGAAGGAGGCAATTCTTCCAACGGACGATAATAAATAATTAGACCATTCAAAAACTCTTCACCAGATGGTGACATTAGGCCACAATACAATACCACACTAAATGGCCTAATTAGGAGTATAAATTAAGCTCAGTACCGCATATGGAGAATCTAGTTATTCATCCGCATTATCTGTGTGTAAATCGATACATTCAAATACAACTATCTAAAAGCGGTGTTCCTCTAATTCACTTCACCACACTGATACAATGACCAGTTAGTGACTCACTGCTCGACATGCAAAATTGTCCTTTAATCCACGTATCTCCATCAGTACAGGAAAACAAATTATCCACGTATATCGACATGCAAGATTTAAATAATTCGTGATCTACAGCTCAAATTATCCATCAGTACAATATCTATAGCAATCTACAATCCACGTATAACAATTGTTCCAGAACTCGTCAAGGGGAAAACGAAAAAGAAAAGAAAACCCAATTTTTTTGACAACCATTTTAACAGTTATAGCTGTACATCAAAAATGAAATACTAAAATGAAAATCGGGGGAGGGAGGGAAGACGGACGGGATAAGATGAAGCATGCAAACTGAAAGCATAGTTCCTAGACTTCTGGTACAGCCTTTTCGTATCAAGTTCATAATATTTGATTTATTACAAAAGCTAATCAAATGATTCTAAAGAAAGTGGAAGACTAGTTGGGGGAAAAGAAAAAAGTGGAAACCTGAAACAAACATCATTCGTATATGGAAGAAAGATACCCCAAACTCGAGGAACAGAGAAAAACAAATGTTCTCTTCCTTCGTGCTTATCAGTCAGTGTTTCCTATTGTTTTGACGCCGCACCAAACACCTCTTTGTAGCATATGGGGCAGGCCTAAAAAGCATGAAAGATTGTCAGCTGAATTTCAGGCTGGGATAATAACGATAAACCACTTGTTTGATATTTGTTAAATCTGAAAGGCCAAGTGTTTTACCTTGTTGATGCTAAGCCATCTGGTGCCACAACCAGCATGGTAGACGTGCTTGCATGGTAAAGTGATTCGGCGGTCACCTCGTTTATATTCCATCTGGCAAATCACACATCTACGTGCAACAGAGGGGAAAAAAAAAAAAAAATGTTTAAAGAATGGGTTTTAAAAAAAAAAAAAAATGTTTAAAGAATGGGTTTTAAAAAAAAAAAAAAACATGTTTAATGAATGGTTTATAAAAAATAAAAAATAAAAATTGCAACTTTATATCCATTTCCATACATGTAACTCAGTCCAACATTTCTACAGATATATTGTAAGATAAAATCTCAAAACCGATCTTTTAGTTTCTCTCTCATTTTATTTGATTTATGTTCATCTCCTGCCAACTAAAATAACACAGCCCCTCCAAACTTATGGCCTGATCTCCTATACTGCTAATTCATTGTACAGCTAACAATTTTTTGAATTTTTACTTAATACTGATTTAGGTCCAGGAATACAATGCAAACTTGAATAGGTACAGGTGAAAGGGATGAAGAGTTCCAGAAAACAGAAAAATCTAAATTTCAAGCATACACAACTCGAATGCTAGCAATTCCAAAGTTCAAATTTTTACCTCTCATTTCGTGACTTCTTTCTCGAGAAGAAGCTACACTTGTATTTTGAGACTGGAAGCAAAGCAATCATCTCTTGCGAAAGACCTCGACTTTGAGTTCCAACTGCCTCACCCAACTCGAGTAATTCCTGAACGTGAAAGACCTCCAACTTTGTATTACTCATCATTTATCATATAAATAATAGTATTAGAACAATTCATCCAAAAAAAAGGTATTAGAATAAAGAGGGAAGAAAATAGAGCAACTTCTTGGCATATAACAAATCGCAATTCGCACATATCAAAGAACCCAGCCAAGGAATATTATCTGATTGGCCAAAATTTTGCCTTCAAGCAACCTCAAACAATATCTAGTGACCAAAACATCTAAAGTCAAATCTGAGCCAGAATATAAACTACATTTCAAAGTGCAATTTATTTCAATTAAGAAGTGAATTTATTCAATCATTTTCAATTGCATTTTTATAAATTCAGACAACTTGTGTTCAAAAGTTTTCTTCTTCCACATGACATGATTTCAGTGCAAGATTATCAACTGTCCCATAATCATAAGGGGAAAAAAAATACATACAATCAGATTAATATAAGTAAGACATGCATGAATCAAGAGGATGGGCATGTTGCAGATCTTTTCAAGCTCTAACCTCGTAAGTCATATTATCAGGATCAATATTATCTTGCCAAATGACCTGCATAATTCCCGAAGAAAAATGATTCAGTTCATCAAGATGTTCAACCATCACAGGATTGATTCAAAAGAAAATGACAAGTATGCAAGTTACAACAATAATCTAGAACAAACAATTTTGGACAGAAGCAGAGTGAACATATTTTTGGAAGGAAATTTGTTTGTGTTTAGAGAGAGAGAGAGAAACTATTCATGTGAGCTACATACCTGATAATCATGAGAACTGTGATGTCTCCTTGGACCTGAAAAGTGAAAGATACTTGAGAGACAAGTTTAATTTTCGTATATTCTAAGAGGCAAAAAGATACCATCGAAGGACAGTTGAGGTGAATATAGAATAGTGCGAAGTCATTAGGTTTTAGAAAATAGTAGAAATATAAATGACCAGAAATTAAGAATTTCTCTGAGAAACTCTTAAAAAGCTGAGCTTTTTAAGTTTCAACTAAAACAGCCGATTTTCCTCTCTCATAAAAATGCTACTATTTTCTCGGGTACACCAAAAAGTTTGCAAATGAACTACTTGAAATGATATAATAGTCCTCTTCCCTTTTCATTTCAACAAAAACCGTCCAGCATCAGTAAAACCCATTTATGCCGCTGAACCGAAGGCACCAACAACTGGCCAAGTAAAAAAAAAAACACATGCCTGATCTAGTATTTACTGCAGTCAAATTTTTATTTTGGCTTATGAAAGGACTCCTGAATGACAGAATTACTACAAACTCTGAAACCAATATAGGCAAAAGAACTCACATTCTACAGGATTGCCACGTGTATTAATATTTGCATTTCCTTCCCACTCTGAATTTGCTGCCGCAGACTGGTCATTGGTCATTGTTGAAGAGTTCTCTGAGGGCCTTCTGTACTCATCATTTCGCAGCTCGAAATCATGCACCCCATAAGTGTGTGGGACATCATAATACAAACCGCTCCCGGGTTCAGATAACCCAAACTTGTAAAAACTAGTACTTGGGGAAGGATACACACTATCCTATAAAAGAAAATAAAAGAAAAAAAAGAAAGAAAAAAAAAAAAAAAGAGTAGGAACATCTTAACTTTGCTTAAGTAATGAAATAGTTAAGAGTGTCAGGTAACACTTAAGGTTCAATGAATTACTGGCAGTAAGAAAGTAAATAATAACATAACTTAAAAGTAACAATAAAAGCTTAGAACAATCCTGCTTTCAACATCTATAGCTGATCACTAAGTAAATTAAATTAATCCTGCAAATCTATTTTGCAATATAAGAAAAAAAAAAAATATATATATATATATATATAGGTATCATTCAAACAACTGAAATCCAATACGTAATCCTATAAGCTATTGAGAATATCTTCACTGAAATCATAACAAGTAATATTCACAGAGATTTCAAAAGAAAGTACCTGAGCATGTGAAGCACCAGAAAAAATGAAATTCACATGCTCATACGTAAGGCCTTCAAAATATTCCATAAAGCTACCCGCTGAGCTGTAAGGATAACTAGTATTAACGTAATGAACCTCCATGTGTGGGTTCCAACTCATTTTTAACGACTAAACTGTAACACCAAAATACAACAGATCAGAACCAAAATCTAAAACATCGCAGTGACATTAACATGAAAAGTCACAAATAGAGCCATCAACCTGATCTATCGACAAATTCACGTCTCCAAAAGGACTGAACAAAAACAAAATCAAACAGGAGAAAACGCCGATCGGCTCTGTGTTTTTCTGCAATTCCTGCAAATTTAAACCAAAACTCAAATTACCTAAAAGTAAACTAAAGAGCTTCGGCATGCAAATTGTAAGAAGCGAAGAAACCAATAATGCATCCAGATTCTTCACAAACTATGACTAATTACATTACAAAAAGGCTCTTTTACTTTATAAAAGTAAAAATCAACAAAGAAAATAACTTTCAAAGGAATTTTCCAGAAAATTAAATATGAACATTTGACGGTCATCTTTGCTGAAATTATTTGCTTAAACCAGAAAATTAGATAAAGAATGAATCAGATCAATGTCAGGATAATAAAAATTCCGGCTTTAATTCTGCAAATTTCCTATTGGCAATGAAGAAATCGTAGACGCAATTCAGAGAAAGAAACTAAGCAGACAGAATCAATTAATCAAAATTTCTTCGATCAATTAGCAAACGAAACTAGAGGCGATTCCTTCATTTCCTCCATTTAATTCAAACGCAAGAGACAAAATTTTCCTTCATTTCTTCAAGTTTTCCGCACAATCAAACGCAAAAAGAAAGTCTGCGAATACCTCATTACAGAATGCCGATATCCAACATCCATCAATATACGAGAAAGAGAAAAAAGAACTAGAAGAGAAAACCGCCACGCCGAGAAAATCTGGTCTGCTGCAGTTTGAGAACCAAATTTTCTCGGGAAAATGCGAGATACGGAGAGAGCAAAGCTCTTGACGGATCAGAGCAATATAAAGAAAACAAACAAAAACAAGAAAATGAAAATGAAAACAAAAGAAATGATAAATAAAACAAATACAAGAGGAAGAATGATTCCAAAAGAGTGAAACTGAGGGATTAAAGAACCGACATTGATCGCTTTTCTGCGTAGGAATAGCTTCCGATTGTTTACGAGAAGGAATAGCTTTCCATTCGATGAGATGAGATGAGAGGGAATAATCGCCTTCTTTCTTTCTCTCTCTCTCTCTCTCTCTTGACGAACACAAATAGAAAAGATGAGAGGGAATAATCGCCTTCTTTCTTTCTCTCTCTCTCTCTCTCTCTTTTCTATTTGTGTTCGTCTGTTTTAAGCAGAGAGAGAGAGAGAGAGAGAGAGTGGGTTTGCAGATACACGCGAAGTCCGTTGGAAGAGAGAGAGAGAGAGAGAAATTGGGATCGGGTGTCACGCGTCATACGATAAAAAAGGCTGACTCATTAAAAACCATTCCTCTGTTTTTCCCTGCTTTAACAGTTGCCCGTCTTTTCTTTGGCTACCTTCCTTACCCACCCACCACCTTTCTCTCTTCCTAATTTTATTCTTATAATTTTCATTATCGAGAAATATATATATAAAAAAACCTCTATAATAAGATTAAGAGGAATCTTTAATCGTACAGTATGTTATTTTACTCCATCAATAAAAATAATTATTTTTAATTGTTAAATTAATTTTTTAATAATTAAATATGTATAAATTTGTAATAAAAATTATAATGCGTCATGTTCTTATTATATATTTGACCGTTTAAAAATTAATCTACCGATAAAAACATAATTTTCACCATACTTAACCGTAAAAACTCCTTAGAGCTCATTTGGTTGGAGGATTCATTTTTTGATTCAAATCATGGTTCATGGTTCGCTACAGTATTTTTTCTCATAAAAAACACACGTAAATAAAAAATGGTTCTAATCCATAAACCAAACGGGCTCTTAATATTAATAAGATTAGGTATGAAACCGTCAAATATATATGTTTGAAATTCTATCAATTTTCAATTGATTTTTTATTTTAATAAAACTTTAATCGTATTAAATATTTAGAAACATGCATTATCAATAGTAATACAATGTCCTAAAAGGCTGCTTCAATTGGTATTTATCTTTTTATCATTTCCTGATTAATTTACTTCATTTTTTTTTTCAGAAATTAAGAAATTCCTATGGTGAGGGCACTTAATTTTATTGCCCACCTCATTTGGTACTTTCATATACATATCATATGTATATGTATGAAGGGCGGATACAATGAGAAGATTTCTTAGACAATACTGGGTGGCCCCATAGTAAAAACTCATCATAAATTATAATAGTTTGATTTGATGTCCCAATAATTACTAATTAACCAAAACCAACCAACTGGGTTTTAATATGACACCTGTTGTAGTAAATGGGAGCTTAACCACCTGCCCTTGTGAGCTTTGATTCAATTTGGATTTTCATAGTGTTTTGGTAAGTTGTATGCTTCAATTTCATTGGAGAAGGTTCGAACATCAAATTTTTATGCAATTAATGCATGAGGAGAAGCAAAGCTACATTTTAGGTTTTTCAGCAACAACATTTATGTGTCCCTATTGATGATGAAACTAAAGGAAAAAAATAAAAGAAAACTAAAATTTAAAAAAAAAAAAAAAAAAAAAGGTCTCGACATAAATTTTTTTACCCCCATTCTAAAAGGGTGCTAAAAAAAAGTGTGACATTGCAATATCACAACTGCCCCCATTTGGCATGCGAAAGATGGCTCCACAATGCATGAGATGAGACATAGAAAGCCATGTACCAAAAATGGCATTGAACCAAATCTTGAGATTGTGGTTTTTTTTTTTTTTTTTTTTTTTTCCTCTCCTCTTTTCGCTCAACAATTCTGAGATTGTGGGTGGGGTTTGCAATTAGTGGTTGGCTTGCGTGAGGCAAGAGGGCCATAAATTTGGTTGAACTGAGATCACCAAAACCATCTGACTTCCCCTCAAAAGGAAGTTGGTGTCAGTTGAGGTTCGTTACGAATCGGCCTACAAAAGAACTCATTAATTTAAGAAAGTTTGCCCCTTCTTTCCGTACTATTAATCTACAAAATGTATTGGGACTTCTTGGTTTTTTTTTTTTTTTTTTTATAACAAAAGTCTCTTTTTATGCAAGTAAAATACACTATTTGTGATTTGGGAATATTACAGAACTTTGGTACAGAATTCAAGGAAGTTTGAAATTTTTAATATGAATGTTCACACCACTAGAATCATCAGAGAACTGTAGAGAAAAGATTGAACATATGCATTTCTGCATGTTATCTGAGCAGATGAAATTCTTTGTTTTCTTTTTTTTTTTTAATTTTTTTTTTTAAGAAATCCATGATGAGGAATCAATTATACAAAGACTTTTTGGAATTTCTTTCATGGGGTCTACTTTATTACGTGTGGATGAAGAGTTCTCATGTGTTAGGAATGCTAGCGTGAGATTTCCTACATGTGGGTTTGAGGTCCACAAAAAGAAATAATTCCAAAAAGTAGTAGTAGTGCCTCAATGTGGCATGTGTGCGCGCGCTCATTAGACACTATGATTAGGTCCTCTGCCACTGCCATTTTAATTTATTCTTTTTTCTCCTTCTACATATTCCAAATTTGCAAGTGTTTGATATAGTCCCCAACAAGTAGTTAATTAAACTATTACCTCTCCTTACACTTCCAAACTTCCATAAGTTCACATTGGTGGTGGAACTAGGTATCTAATTTGTTACCTATTTGTCCTCCAAAATAAAGCCATTTTGACTAATGAAGATGGTTGTTATATGATTGTTTTGTCATTCTTGATCCATATTAGAATCTTAAAAAGAACAATACTACAAGGCTTTTATCCACTAATAAAACTAATAAAACGTGAATCCTATAGCATTAGAGCCATAGACGAGGTAAAATATTTTTTCCTTGGAAATATCCTTCCCGTCTGAAGTTTCCCCAAAATTTTTCCCTTTTAACAGTTCGACCCCAAAACAGAGAGCTTTTTATTCTTACCCATTATCACTTATTACATTGATCTCCAATAATATATATATATATATATATGTATATGTGTGTGTGTATATATATATTCATGGGCGATTTGAGCTGTAGGGGCCGCCATGGGGTGGTAGCAGGCACAGCTCTGAGAAAATGGCAAAGGCTGTCATGCATGTGAGAGAGAGGGGTCACTAAGAAGCAGACATGAATGAGTGAATTATCAGAATGGAACAAATAACTCGGCGTGCAAGGGAAGGCAAGCCCACATCATTATATATATATATATATATATTATATAATATGCTTTTCTTTCTTTCTTTTTGTCCGCATACGTGTCATACCAAACTCTTAAGAGAAAACAATTATCTCATTTTTGGCATCTAAAAAGCCTGCTGACTCGCTGGCTGGCTGCTCAGCAAATAAAAATCAATTACAAAATAAGTACATGATTTCTTTTCACAAATCTCTCTCTCTCTCTCTCTGTTCAGGAGCTTCAGTTCAGTCTCTCTGTTCAGGAGCTTCAGTTCACAGCTCTACAGTTTGTGCACATTCCACGGACGCCTTTTCTTTTTCTTTTTTTTTTCGTGTGTCAGTTTGGCTAACCTTGTTATATGTTGGCCCCTGTATGACACTGTAAAGGAGCTAACTGGCTTAAATATTTCTTCGACATAGAAAAAACAGAGTAAAGAGTACATTTAATCATCCGGGTATTATAGCAAAAGTTTCAGACAATCAATCAGAGAAGCAGCATGTTTGGATATAGCAGCTCTGGTAAAACTATGGTGAAGCAAGCTGGGTAAGACTGAATCTGAAGAAGGTTACGGAAAGATACCCGGGGAACCAAAAAATTCTGGGCACTTTTCTAGAAGATGAGATTGCTGATAAGCTGGTTAACAATACTAATAATGTTTACTCGTTTTCCTAGTAAAACAAACACCTGCACTGGCACAGCACAGGGGGGAAAATGTTTGAAGTCAAAGAAAAGCAACAAAATGCGAAATTACGAACCACATGTTTACCAAACACTAATTTAAACTGTGCTCACCGTTAAAACTGAGTTGAACTGAACTAAACTAACAAAATAAACGGGGCTATATTCATAAAAGTTCAGAGTCAACTGAACTTCATATCTCCCATCGCATTTTTTTTTTTTTTTAAATACACCAATACCCATTTAGAATGATAGAGAATTTCATAGTCATAAGAGTACAAGCTAAAGACAAAAAGCTTCAGGTTTCATAGTCTGGTGAAGGCAGTCAAAAAGAAAATCAATAAAATTGTCTTCTTTTGGAATTTACTTGGTGGTCCAGATTATGCTATAGAGCCCTTTACGCAATTATACTTAAAAAGCATCATGTACCTTCAACATGCACTCTTTTGGACATTTCTTCAACGTTTTAGACACCAGGTCCTTCGGCACTCTTCTTCATTGTTATGTGCTTCATTGAAAGTTTGTAGTTGCTTGACTACAATTTGACAAAGCTGACATACATATTAGCCATTCATTAGCCAAATTCCGCACCAACGAAAAAGTAATCCCTGAATGTACGAACACCTCGTACAGAACCAACCATCTCTATTTCTCTTGTTAACTGAAACGAACAGTCGTATATTTGCCGTGAATGAGGGTGCATATTGTCTCTGACGGTAAACTCACATACAATGCCGTTCACCTCAATTGAGCTACAGCCGGGAGTCTTCTCTACTCCTTTCTCCCTCATCATCTTCCGTGCCTTCTCTGCCCCCTCCCACATATTTGCTTCCCCATACATACTTGCAAGCAAGATATAATTTCCGCTATCATGAGGATCCAACTCAAAAAGTTTGAAAGCTGCTCTTTCTCCCATCACAACATTTTTATGAATGCGACAAGCAAAGAACAATGCACCCCAAATGACAGCATCTGCCTTGATAGGCATGCTCATGATAAGCTCTTCTGCCTCTACCAAAAGACCAGCCCGACCAAGAAGATCCACCATGCAAGAGTAGTGTTTGCAGTTGGGGCAAAGATTGAATTTTGATCTCATTTGCGAAAAATACTTGCGACCCTCTTCAATCAAGCCTCCATGACAACAAGCGGATAAGACCCCAATGAAGGTGATCTCATCTGGCATCAGCCCTGTATCAATCATCTTTTCGAAGTAAAATATGGCATCGCTTGCGTGCCCGTGAACAGCCAAACCACATATAATAGCTGTCCAAGTCACAGAGTTTCTCCCTGGCATTTCTTGAAACACCTGAAGGGCCTTTTTGATGTTCCCACATTTGGAATACATATCAACAAGAGCAGTTCCCAACGCAACGTTTGAGGAAACAATATGTTTTTCAATATAACGGTGAATCCATATTCCAATATCAAGTGCTCCAAGTTGCGAGCATGCTGATAAGCAGCCCACCATGGTGATCTCATCAGGCCTTATGTTCCTAGCTTGCATCTCATGAAACACAGCTAGCGCTTCCTTACCGCACTTTGCTTGAACATAGCCGCTAATCATTGCATTCCACGGCACAACATTATTCTCCGGCATTTCATACAAAAGCTTCCAAGCGGCTTCCAGAAATCCGAATTTGGCATAACCAACTATCATTGTAGTCCATGAGACGACAGTTTTATTCGTCATCTCACTAAATAATTCTTGAGCCGCTTCAAGGTGACCACACTTGGCATACATGTCCATAAGCGCATTAGCCAGAGGAACGGTCAAACTCAGTCCATTTACTCGAATAGTTCGATGAAACTCTCTCCCCTTGTCCAAATCCCCTAGTTGAGCACACGAAGAAACCAACCCAACCATTGTAACTTCATCCGGCTTAACTCTATCATCCTCCATTTCCTGAAATAGCCTTAACGCCTCATGCGCCAGCCCAGCTCGAGCGTACCCATTGATCAAAGAATTCCAAGAAACTAAATCTCTCACACGACTTTCATCAAACGCCTTACATGCATCCCGCAGTTCTCCACATGACACAAGCATATGAATCACCGCATTATGAACAAACACATCAGCATCAAAACCCAACTTCAACACATGCCCAAGAAGCTTTAAACCCATTAACTTCTCTTGCAAATTCGCACAAACTTTCAACAACAAAGGGTAAGTATAATTATCCGGCCACGACCCGCCATCTCGGAACATCCGCTTGTACAAAGCAAGCGCTTCCCTCGGCGATTCGCTTTCCAAATACCCTCTAATGGCTACATTCCAGGAAAACACATTTGGGTTCTCCAAGCTGAGCAAAATCTTGGTACAATAATCCAGATTTCTTGATTCAGATAGCGCGCAAAAGGCGACAAGACGACTCGAAGCAAAGGGGTCAGAGATTAATCCGGTAATGGTCATTCGGGCTTGGATTTGCTTCAAATGGGAGATGGAATTGGAATTCTCGAGAAGAGAGAGAAGAGGATTGGATTGAACAAGAGTGTGGGTTGTGTTCCAGTTGATGGGTTTCTGTTTGTGGGGTGGAAAGGAGCGAGTGTGAAGGAGAAAAGAAAATGGAACTAAGATCGGGTTTTGCAACAGACGTTGAGATTTGGAGCAGATGATTGTAAAGCTGATCATCAGATTTTTGTGAGAGCATTTCTGATTATGAATTGTGATTGGAGTTGGCGGGAAAGTCACACTAGCCGTTGAAGGAGGGTTAGGTGCTTTTGGTCGTTGACTTGTATAAACCAACTATTAACCAAAGGAAAAATTAAACGAGAATTTTTTTATTTTTTTAGATTCATATAGTATACAAAATAAGAGAGAACTTATCTCTTTGTAATTTTGATTAAATAAAATTTCTCATAAAACAATAAGGATCTTCTAAAATATGCATAACTCGAAATAATATAAAATAAAATATGCATAACTAATTCATATAAAAGTTACTAGTAATTATACTATCTCGAAATAATAAACATGGTTGATTTTTCTTCATGATTTATCACTCTTGTATTAAAACAGGGGTACCTCTATAACGGCCACGTAAGTGGGGTCTTTACAACCTCATGCAACAAAATTAAACCTATTTGATAATTAAGGTTATGTTTTATCATAATTAAATTTAGAAGATCCTTAGGACAACAGACACCTACTGATAATACTTGTTTTACTAAACGTTGAAAATCATACAAAAATTAGAAAAGGATGAAATCTAATAAAAATCTAAGATGGATATTAGAAATATACACTTAACGTAGGTAATTTAGTGCCAGATGATCAAAGGACAACCCTACAGCGAATGTTCTCATGCTTTCATTTAATTTCATCACAGCTAATACCAAGTTCTCAGTTTATATGTTCTATCTAGTTCATAGAATCAATTTATCTAATAATAGGCAGATGACATTCTCCAGAAAAGAGGACGACATACAAACAGCATCAAAACCAAACGACGGCAAAGGAGTGGAATTCACCATGGAAACAACACATACTCACAAAAAGGCAACTCTGAACGACAACAAAGGTTACGCAACACAACTCAGTACGAAATCAAATGCAAACGACGGTAGAGGATACCAAAGTCACATTGAAACGACATAAATAGACACAAGGGAACTGAGAACGACATCAAATCTAAACGACAGCAAAGGAGACGCAATCACAATGAAAACGACACAGAAATACATAAAGTAATCACATAGTATCAACTACGGCGGTGGAGCGAAAATGGTGTCTCCAACCACAATGGACAAAATGGGTAAATGGGAGAGCTTTTACCGAGTTCGATCAAGTAGAGGACAAAGGTTGCTCTTCTTCGAGAACCCCTAAATGCGAGTATGACGGATCTGCTACAGAAGTTTGACAACGACAACGACAGGATCCGTAACGAGGACGGCGTTTCACTCTACATCGATTCAAGTATCCGTGTTGAAAACTAAAGGAGACGGGTTTGAAAGAATCTAGGGGTTTTTTTTTTTTTTTTGCTTCAGATTGAGGAAAAGGGCTGCTTTTTTGGCGATTTATGGGTGAATTATGAAGGGATAGCTCTCAGAGACTCTCGATTCCAGAACTTCACAGTGAATCTGAACTGCATACGATGGAAAATGGTGGGAGAGATGGGAGCTTTTTCAGGGAATCTGAACTGTAGAAGATAGAAATGGTGAGAGAAGAGAGCTTCTTTTCCGTTCTCATGAGGAAAGAGTTAAAAGCAAAGGTAAAACGCAGCAGGGAAAAGTTTGAAAGCTGGAGAGACCCATCTTTGCAATAAAGCAACAAAATTATCGTCGAACAAAACTTCATATTAGAAACCCAAATGAGTATGATATTCTTCTTAAAAAAACGAGAGAATATATGTATAGCAGCCGCGTTTAATTTGTTTTCATTTTTATTTTTGAGAAACTGATCATCACTACCCTAACGACCCTGACAGAATCTTGGCAAGTTGGGTTGCTGTTTCCAATGGAAAATAAAAACGATGAGGCACAGATTCAGAGAAGTCAAGAGAAATTAAACTTGCTGATGAATAGTATAACTAGCAAAATAAAATGAGCCTACAACGGCTCTCATAATAATCGAAAACAGATAAACAAAAATCCTTCTCAAAGGAACAATTGTTTAGGTCTCAATCCCTCTAGAACTAAGGTTGGTGGTTATTGAGTAGAAAAATTTCCCAACAAAAATACGAAATAAGAAGGAAACATTTTCATCAACGTCTATGGAAAAATGGGTGATGATAGGAGTTCTGAATACAACTTCTCAAAGCTGCTTAAGCTCCGCCAGAACCATACTTCTTTCCAAAAACAAGGACCTGGAGCTTGTCATAACCGGCAAGGACACCAGCGCCGGCAACGGCACGAAGGATGTTGGCACCAGCTCCCTTGAAGAGAGATTTGGCTCCTTCGTTCTTCAGGATTTGAGAGAATGCATCAAAAGAACTCTTGTACTTGACGGCTTCACCGGATGTCATCATCATTCTTCTGCGGACAGTGTCAATCGGGTAAGAGGCAAGACCAGCACCGTTGGTGATAACCCAACCAAGAGCAAAGCTAGCAAAGAAACTATCCTGTAAATTTTCCAAGAAAAATAAACACAGGTATTAGTACCATGACAATATAATCAGTATTCGCAACAGATATTCTTATGAAAAGAATGTGAAACACTCATTCAGAAAAAGTTAAAATTTAACTATGGCATTACAAACATGGAAAGATGTAAAAATGAACAAAATGTAAAGGTATCTTAAAGAAAGGTGTATAACAAGTGCAAAATGATTCAGAATCAACATTTACCTGCAACTTTCCAGTTAGGACCACTGGCTTCACAGAATCGTACAGTCCAAAGTACAGACCACGGTAGACGATGATTCCAACACAAGAAATGTTGAAACCACGGTAAAGTCCAGCAACACCATCAGATTGGAGAGTCTTTCTGTAGACATCAATCAATCCATTGAACTGCCTCCCTCCTCCCTTCTTGGCAGCCTTGGCATCATTAGCAAGACGGGTTCTAGCATAATCCAGAGAGTAAACAAAGAGCAAAGAAGAGGCACCAGCAGCACCACCGGATGCCAAGTTGCCAGCAAACCACTTCCAGTAGCCATCGCGGTCTTTCTTGAAGTTGAAAAGCCTCTTGAAGTAGTCCTTGAACGCAAAGTTCAGGGCCTGTAATGTTTAAATCAAAAATCAATTATGTAAGCACACTTCAATAAGAGAAAGAAAGATGACAAACTTGAGTTAAAAAAAATACAAGGAAAAGAGATTTGACAAACCTGAGTTGGGAAGTAACGGATAACGTTAGCAGTGTTTCCTCTCCACAATGCTACAACTCCCTCGTCCTTAATTGTGCGGCTAAAACAATCTCCAATACCCTTGTAAGGTTCAGAGAGCCTTCCAGCCTTGATCATCTCATCCTGGTTTTGGATCAAGAGCTTAACACGCTCAATTGGGGCAGCAGCGGTTTTAGACACGGCAGCTGAGACTCCACCCATCAAGAAATCAATGGCAAAACCAGCAAATCCTTTCTCTGATGGGGCTTGGACGCACACTGGTGAGGAAGCTGAAGAAATCATTGACAGATCAATGGTGGATCGGCTCGGATACTGCAATCCAGCATTGGAGTAGTTCCCATAGGCAAATTGCCTTTGGTGGATTGCAGGCCCCTGGAAGCCGGTGTAGCGGCTTTGAGCATCATGGGAAAGGCTGGAACCCAAATGGAGTTGACCAGCAAACTTTTGCATCACAGTTGGGGTTTGTTGCCTCTCAGCCATTACTTTGAATAAAATGCACTCCTGTAAAATCATACCACAGTTTTATGATATTATATACATACTAAAACAAAACGAAGACTGTCAAAAAAATTGTCCATTGATAGCATACGCTTGAACAATTAAAGAGAGACTTTTCACAGGTGAACAATCTTCAACAATAGGCTTAACAAATTCAATCAAACAATTCCCTGAATGTAAAGGAGAAATATAATCTATATAAAATCAACCAACATCAGAAGAAATATTTTATTATATGAAAAAAAAAAACGCATCGAGAATTTCGATGTTCACAATGAAATTGAATCTGAAAGATGTGATTTTTTCACACCCATTACAGGAAAAAACAGTACTTGTTAACAAAATTTTATTAATTTTTGACAAAAGAGAACGTTTTAACAACCAAACAAGATGTCACATCAGAACTTAAATATTAATACATGACCATCAACTCAAAACTAGACACGCAAAAATATCAGCATCAATGAATCGAAACCAAATAAAAAACCCTATAATCAAAATCCCAATCCTTTCTGCCAAACGCACTTGAGAAAAGGCTACACCACGCGTAGATCTAACGAAACTAGCCATTAAAAAATCCAAATCAAAGCAATAATGGCCTTAGCCGACGCAAAGAGGCAGAGAAATAACAGATCGAACAGACCCAGAAACAAAACATAGAGATCAAAAATACCCTTTTGCGGGATTAAGACAAAAACGCAAAAAAGAACAATAATCAAAGCCATAAAGCAAAGGAAAAACGCAGAAAATAAGTCATAACAAAAAAAACAAAAACAAAGCAAGATCCGATCTTTCAAATAAGATTACGCAAGAAAAAACATGAAAGATAAAGAGAAGAAGAAAAACAATACCCTTTCGGATTTGGCTCTGGAAATGTGGAAGAAGGAGAGCTTTACGGGTTCTGGGAGCGGACGCCAATGAAGGAGGCGGAAAAGAAATGGTTTCCGCTTTTAAAGCCCTTCTCTGAAGGTCTCCTCGTAAACGCAAACCCAAGTTGCAATTTATCTGCTGCTTCGTGCTATAGCGTATTCAATGGTCTAGGCCTCCACGTCCGTCAATTTTGCTGAATCTTGGGTGGACCCTATGTACAAGGGCAAGAAAGTGTTTTCCTGTGGTGCTGGATTGTTATGAAATGAAATTTAAGAAAAAGGCAGGCATTATGAAAGATTTGAAGGTTTTTCCCGGAAAGTTCTCTATGGTTGGTATATGATGCTTTTTTACTATATATAACAAGAGAGAGTTCTTACTTGGGCAAATTTAGACACAGGTTTTTCTCCGATTATTTGAAGTTCAGTTGTTGACTTGTTTAAACAAATTAATTTAAAATCTTCTCTCGTATGTTAACTTGCGGGTAGAATTAATTTTTAACTGTTAAATATCAAAATTACATTATATTAAAAAATATCATAAAAATAAATAACTATTGATAATTCATTTTTTTCAATCTTATTAAAGAATCTCCCAATTAAATTTTAAACATTCTTAAAAGGGAAAAAAAATCATTTTTGAACAACTTTTGGTAATTTAGAAGGCTTTTTTTTTTTTGGGGGTCTGATATATGGAGACAAATGCTTGCAACAAAACCGTATAGTATACAGTTTGTATTGAGGAATGAATTAGACAAAATCAATCGCCTTTTTTTCTAGATTAGTTTGGTTTCAACCATACATGTTGTCAATTCACAATTGTGCTTTGAATTGTATGTTAGTCTTGTTCACATTGGTCTTCTTTTTTTTTTTTTTCGGAGCTCTTCTTCATGGAAGGAAACAACATCATTTGATATCATATTAATTGGCCTTTTGACCTCTAAATAAAATTTCCAACTAATACTTGCATTGCATGTCATGTCCCACGAGGACCCAAATAAACAGCTCTCACCTAAATTGACCCTCGACGTTAGAGTAAGGCCAACTTGAATTGTTCCCAAGAGTAAGACTGTTTGGGAGAAGAGAAAATTATTGTTTCTCTTGTTATGATAATATTTAAGCATGTCTTTCTCTTAATTAATGCCTAAAGTCAAACCAATTGAGAGTTACATCATACAAATGCATGCTTCTTTTTCTCGTTGTCGTTATTTCCAAGTATGAGATGTCATAGATGGCATCTGCGTGCTTGATAACATAACAAAATGCATTTTAGAAAGAAAGGAAAAAGAAAAAGGAGAGACGCTTGTAATCCGAGAATCATCGAAGAGAAATTCAGGAACTAAACAATACATATGTGATGATGAAGATAAAAACCATGAGAATAAACAAGAAGTTTGTAACGACACAGAAATTTCGAATTCATGTCGTCAATTTGTGAAGGACAATGAAGCTAATCTCGGCTGCTAAGTGCTCACTTGACTTTTTGGTCGAGAAGCACGTTGGGTAGAAACGGAGCGCAAGCCCGTTGAGGGCACCGGATTCAACAAGGAATCCCTCCTCAATACCGTTCAGTTTAACGCAGTCATGACTCTAATTCAGTGGCTCTAGGAATGGTATCAGAAGCTATGTGTACATATTCACACCATGCAATAATAAACAACATCAAAAAGTTTTACAAGGTTCTTCATCAAGGAAGAAAAAGTACAAGAACACAAGTTGATAAATTCAAACTCCACAAGCAACTGAAATCCCCGAAACTTTCTTCATGGACAAGTCACTCAAACCCACAGGAAAAGTAATGCAACCGAGAATTTGTACAATAGTTGACCCTCCTCTGGAGGTATTGTCAATTGTGCTATGCAATTTGCACACACTAAAATTTTCTGACTGCTATTGTTCACATACGATTAAAGTTGAAGAAAGGCCTATTACATGGGCCAGGCAACAAGAAAAAAATGAAGAAAGAAGAAGTGACAAGCAAACTTTTCAGATTTACAAAGTAGAAAGCTAGCAGCAGTACAAAAAGTTAATAATTCTTGGGATAAAACCTAGAGGAGTATACATGCTTCACAAGGTTAGTGTGCTTTAAAAGTTTTGGGGACAAGGATAAACAGGAAGCGTAAATCATAATACTCACAACACATTGCCAGTACTCAAGCTCAAAATCTATTGATGCCTACCCAAATCAATCTGATCTCTCCCTTGCAGTCTATCAATGCCGAGAGAAGAATGTTCCAAGGAAGCCTCTGACCTCCTCAAATCTAATTCCAGCTCCTTCTGCCTCAGTTGCAGTACTTTCCGCTCATTCTCTAATTTCATCCTCTCATTCTCCAGCCTCAACCTCTCAAGCTCTCTGTCTTTCTTGCTGCAGTATCTCAACCACCTAAACCGCTGCTTCTCAAGCTCAAGAGCCTCAGCCTGGACGTTGACTCTTTGTACTTCGAGTTGCATCATCTGTTTCTTAACCCACTCTCGCCGCTCCCATAAGGACTTTGTGGGGTCTTGAAAAAACCTAGCCATTTCACCTTCAAAACTATCCTGTGGGGAGGTCCAAAAATGGAAATCCTCTTCGTTGACCTTCTTCCTATCACCAAACTCGGTCATCCTCTCCCCATCATTGTCATCATTATTGTCGTCTTCATTATCTAAATCATCATCCTCACTATCATGATTTTCCTCAGCTTCTTCCTCATCGGATCCATTATTATCTTTTGAGCACCTTTCAAGAGGTAAAGAATAACCTTGCAAATCAATATCATGGCAATCAAGAATCCTTTGCCCATTGTGATAAGCACACATTTCTTTGTAAAACAAGTGTTTTGAGCTCAGTATCTTTCTAACATCATCCTTTGCCTTAGCTGATAGGTGGGGCATTGAGTCCATAAGAGCAGGATTCTCCACCACTCTACAACTAGTTCCCCTCCCAAGTATATCATTCAACCTTTTGTACCTTTTGTTCAAGTCATTAAACTTATCTTCACACTGCTGAGGCGACACATGACAGCCTTTACTGATCATTATCTTTGAAACTGTTTTCCACTTTCCCTTCTTCTGTAAAATCCCAGATTTTCTCTTAAGCCCCTCCCCACCTGCAACCATTCCATCATCGCCCACACAAGCAACCACGGCAATAAGAAGCTTAACCACATTATCCGTCCACTTCATTCGCTGCCACGGAGAGCCCTTTTTCCCCTTAACCCCATCAAAGTTCTCGCCACTGCCATCTTCCATATAACTCGGCTCATCTTCTTCACTCAGATTGTAACCATGATTACCATTTATGGGGGCAACTCCTTTCCCTTTACCGAACATAGAAACACCTTTCGATGCTGATCCTTTCACTTCCATAAGCGAAATCGGATGGGGTTCATCCTCAACACCACCCATCACACTCATGTGATGTTGATGTGCTAATGAGGAATGACCCAACTGCCTTGTTTGGTGTCTATGCATCGGTGATTCCAAGTCTAGTATCCCCCCATTTGGACCCGACAAAAACCCACCTCCCAGACCTGAACTATCCATTACAAAACACACTCAATACCAAAAACCCAAAATACGATCCACTACCAAGCAGAAACTAAATTCCAAATTCCCACTTTAACTAAGCTTGATATGTAGCTAATAACTCACTAATCCCAGTGGATTTTTCCAACTCATAACTCCAAATCAACCAGAAAATCACGCGAACCCAAAATTCTATCGACATAAGCAAATTATAATCTGATGAAAAACAAGATAGAAGTACCTAATAAGCACTTCTTATCCGCTGAGCCTCATTCCGGTGCAAAAGGGGCGAAATTTACACCAAAATCGAAAGAACCCAAATAAGATCTAACCTCAATGTTTCGCGAGTTCGGAGGAATACGAGGATTTTCGACGAGTGGTGTTCCTAGAAAGTTGAAGGAATAGTTTGAACAGTAATGAGCAAACCAATATTCCAAAAATAGAAATACAAACCGAAAAGAGAATTTCTTTAAGCTTACCTTTACCAATCCACGACGATGATTTATGACGAAAGGGAAGGAGAGAATATGTATTGTCTGTGATATTGATGATCAGTTTGGGACAGAGAAAGAAAGCGAAGGTTTCTGGTCTAAACTCTCTAAAGGAACGCTTTTTATTCAAGTTTCTGTTTTTTCTTCTTTGGTAGGATGAAGAAGCCATCTTTTCTTGCTTTATGTTAGAAGAGAGTGAGGTAAAAAGTAAATAAATAAATTCTTTTTTTAACGGATAAATAAATTCTTTTGTCAAAATATTTTTAAAATATTTTTAATTATAATAAAAAAAATTAAATATAATATTTTTTTTAAAAATTTAATCGTAAAAATTTAAAATTAAAAACTCAAATTATATGCAAACTTTTTTTAATTGAGGATGATTCTGCTGTATCATATCGTGAGTGGTTGTGAGCTGTTAGATTGAATCCAACGGTTGGGAAGAGAAAATGACTATAATGGGCAACCGGCAAAACCGGTTAAGAGAGAACTCAAATAAATTTAAAAAAAAAAAAAAACCCTCTTTCTCTCTCGTCACCCGTTCTCTTTCTCTCTGTGCCGCCCCCGGCAAAACCGGTTAAGAGAGAACTCAAATAAATTTAAAAAAAAAAAAAAAACCCTCTTTCTCTCTCGTCACCCGTTCTCTTTCTCTCTGTGCCGCCCCTCCTCCCTCTTTGTTGCCCTCTCTCTCTTTCGACTCTCTCTCTCTCTCTCTCTCTATCGCCCAACCCTCTCTTTCTGCCTCCTCTCTCTGCCGCCCACTCTTCTCTTTTTCCCTCATCTCTGTCTCTGTCTTGCTGTCTTTCCTGAGCACGGCGGCGTTTGCGAGGAAGACGGCCCTTGTTGTTGCGCGATGGCCAGTCGGCCTTTTACAGCCATGGCGACGTCACAGAACTCTGGTTGCAGAATAGCGTGAGAGAGAATTAGCACAGGAAGATTTCATTTGTTTCGTGATAAACTACTTTTAGCTCGTTAATTAAATTTTCCATGGTCTTTTTGACCGATTTGCTATTTTTTGACTTGGGGCTTTTCATTATTCTCTGTGAAATCTCTTGTTTTCCAGGGGAAAAAAAATACATAAAGAAAAGAGAAAATAAAAATCTGTCCTTTATTTCACCATATATATGCTGTCTCCTTCACACATCATTCCTTTCTATGAGGTGTTATGTTATCTTGTATGCTTATTGACATATTCTGATTAGTTGTTCATGTTATTTTGACGCCATTGTTCATATGAAGCACATGTCTGTTGATGGCATTTTTTCAATTAGTAACCTCCTGTTGGAGCACCTTTAAACTTGTAACCCTCTTATAAAAATTATTTTCTTTTTAATTTATTTTCCTTAACTTTTCACGACTAAATTACCCTCATTTTGAAAGTGAAAGGAAATGGAAAAACCCCACAAAATCCAATCAGACCCCCACAAAGAAAAATAACAAAAACAAAAAAACAGAAACTTCCCTTCACTTCCGAGTCCGTTCTTCGTCCTTCTTCTTCCAAAACGGCAAACCTCCAACAGAGTCCGGTCCGATGCGATCAAGCCTCCCGCTTCATCTCCGGCCACCCAAAATCTCCGGCCTCCAATTCCGTCCGATATGCCGAGGCTCCACCCGCAGTTCTGATTGGAGTTGCGCCGCCACCTCTGACTTCGACGGTGAAGAAATCTCCCCCACTCAATCTCACCCGCAGTTCTCTATTTGTTTTTTCTTTTTCTTTTTCTTTTGTCATCTGGGTTGTTAGTTTTGTGTTTTGGTGTGAATTAAGACTTGTTTAATTATTGCCCATCATATGTTCAATAATAATTATGTGTTTGATGAAATGCCTTGGTGCGATGAAATTAACACTAGTAAGCGCATCAATCGTTCAAGTAATAAAGTGATGAGTAAGATATTATTTTCTAACGATAATTGGTAAAATTCACAAATAAAGTGATTAAACTGACTATGTTATTTGATATTGTGAAATTTGAAGTAATGTGAATTAAAATTAAATAAAAATTAAAGATTAAAAAAATATAAGGATATAAGATTTAAGAAGGAATTCAATGAGAGAAAGCGTTAGAGAGTTAATTTCCCATACACCAATTCATCCATAAGCTCAAAAAAATGAATTTCAACTATTATTAACCATGAGATGGTAGAAATTCCTAATGTTTAATTATCCATATTTTGAATCTAATCAACTATCACATATATTCTTAACTTCAAATATTCTTATTTCATGTCTATTCTAGATTAATTCAACATGAGATGCTTTAGAATTTGTGGAATCCTTTTTCGGTTAAATCCCCATCTCAGTTACAATTTAAACTGACCATATGAATTTCCTTGAATCCCTATTCGGTTACTCTTCGTCCACAATTTAATGACAATTGAAACATCACTATGATCAATTTCCAAATTAAATCAATGAAAAGCCATAAGAACAATAGAACACACTCTTCACGGAAAAATAATAAATTGCAACTCATTCAAATTGAAACTCATAAATCCATCAATATCTAACTAAAAGTTTTAAACCATAATGAAATTAAATAAAACAAAGAAGAGTCTGGAAGACATCACCATAGAAAATCTGAAAGAAGAAAAGAAGAACAAAGGATAAATCCCTAATGGCCGAACTTTACAAATTGTTTCTCCACCCAGAATCAGCCACTCCCAGCAATAATCCCTCTGGGTCGACTCCAAACTCTGGTCGAATCCTCTTTCAAAAGCCCTGGGCAAATCCCTTTTCTCCTCTTTCTCTCTCTCGGTTATCTCAGCCAAAACCTCTGGAATTCCAACCCAAAAACTCTCTGTTTATTCCCATGAACACCTCTGGAAAAGCCCAGCAACCACTCTAGAATTCCAGCCAAGAAAATCCCAGCAGCCACCCTAGAATTCCCAGTAACCACACACTGGTTCCCTCTGGAATATCCAGCCTCAAAAACTCTCTCTCTTCCCTTCCTGATTTTCCCTTTTAAGCTTGATTCTCTATGCCCAAAACTCTCTCTCTCAGCCACTCTCTCTCTCTGCTCGGGCCTTCCTCTTGATTCCATCTTCAAACTCTTGGTTAGATAGAGTTTTTTCCACTTTAGCCGCAACTTCTTATCTTCCCCAAGGCAGCCCCAAGTCCCGTGTGAATCTCAGGAAGCACAAAACCGTGTAATCTCAAGGCAGCCCCTGAAACACAATGTCGTATAAGCTGGAATTAATCTCCTCCGTGTGGGCTTCTGGGATGAAATTGGGCCTTTAATTATGGGCTTTTCTGGACCTAAGTTGGTAGATTACTCAACTCATACACATCCGTAGTCGCTGGGAGTAGTATTCTCCATGTGTGGACTTTGCTGGGCTAAATTTGGCCTTTTATTTGTGGGCTTTTAATGGACTGAAACTGGTAGATTACTAAGCTTATCCCCTCCAAAACAGCCCCCCTCATCCAACATTTATTCTCAGGAAGAAAGCACAACTGTGATATCCAAATTTAGCCTCCTCTGTTTGTGGACTTTTAATGGGCTGAAACTGGGCCTGGTTAATTGTGTGCTTTTAATGGTAATCTGTGGTAGATTATCACGCTTGCATCCATCCTGCAAAATTAGATTAAGAAGACATCAATTTGTCAATAAAACGCCTTAAAACTAGTTAATATTAAACTTGCAAGAGCTTAATAAATCGGTGTAAAACCAACTCATCAAACTCCCCCAAACTTAACATTTTGCTAGTCCTCAAGCAAAAAGATGAAACAAAACAAAATAAAATCTAAAAATGTCGTCAAAAGAACTGCCCAAGAATCGATTCAATTTGATGTACCAAGCAAGCCTTAAAGATTGCAAAATGCCTCTAATTTCTCTTCACTCTCAACTTCACTATCCATAGTCATGCATGAAATTTGGTCTTTATAAAACTCATGATTTTGGATGGACACCTCGTTTATTAGCAAATCGGTGTCGGCACTACGAGAGTCCATCTGTGGTGAGGCTTGAGCAAAAATAAATTTGAAGGGTTCTTGTTCTTCTTCTAGAGGCTCATCTTCCTTTAGAGGCTTGAATTCCCTTGACAACTTCTCTTGAATGTACCAATCTTGATAAAACTGCACCATATCGGCCATCATTTGGTAGGCTTCATCCTCGGGTCTTTCACAGAATGGGGTTGTATCATAGCCATCTTCCACCCAACTTTGGGTTGCTATGCTCAATCCTTTAATGAAGATTTGAAGTTGAAGCCACTTTGGAATACCATGTTGCGGAACCCTAGCCAATAGCTCCTTTGATCTATCCCCAGCTTGATATAGAGGTTCAGTGTCAAGTTGAGAAAAAGTGATGATGGCTTGGCCCATCTCCAACTTAGTCATCATTTTTTTTATTTTTTTTTATTTTACCTGCAAAAGAAAGAAAAAAAAAACTCAGAAAACAAAATTAGAAGAAAAACACTGTCCAGTGCACAAATTCGCATTTTTTTTATTTTTTTTTATTTTACCTGCAAAAGAAAGAAAAAAAAAAACTCAGAAAACAAAATTAGAAGAAAAACACTGTCCAGTGCACAAATTCAGCCGGATTTCGGCGCCGCGGCGCTACAAACTGGCGCCAAAGCGCCACCAGTTCTGCCCAAATTGTTGATTCCGTATAACTCAGTGCCAAGGCGCTACAGATTGGCGCCTAAGCACTATGATTGCTGTCTTTTTCCACCGAAATTTGTCCAAAACCTTCCAAATCATAGA